CGCTACTAGGAACAAGTGCATCGCTTGTAGTAACAAGTGCCTTACTAGTAGTAACAAGAAACTATTAGAAACAAGAACGGTACTAGGAACAAGTGCATCGCTTGTAGTAACAAGTGCCTTACTAGTAGTAACAAGAAACTATTAGAAACAAGAACGGTACTAGGAACAAGTGCATCGCTTGTAGTAACAAGGTACTGAGGTTACAATAAAACTCAACATAAACCGTCACACGTTCTGGGCGACAAACCGTCACATCCCCGACCGACGCCTCCACGACCTGTGCTGCACCGATGGTGCGACGGTCATTGCGGTGCTTTTCGGTGGCACAAAGCAGCGACGCCTCGGAAGCAAAACCGGTGAATTCGACTGGGCTAACCGCGCATAAATGGTCACAAGAGTTGTGGAAGAAGCAAGGATTGTCAATACCCGGAGGTCAACCTCAACATGATTTGGAAATAGAACAGACTTCCCAATGCAGCCAGTCATTGTGCCACTGGGCTCTACATTGGTTGCAAAACTGCTAGTGAGCAGAATATGGAAGAAAGAAGGGTTTCTGGGCCCCAGAAGTTAAATCCTTCCAACCACCACTGCCTACCGCGTGCCAACCAACCTAATCGACCCAACCACGCCTGCAGATTCAGCTGCCCAAGGTTTTGCAAGCTGAAGCTATCAGCATCTACCCAGCAACTCCCAGGATGCCTTGACAAGAGCTCATAGCGAAACCAATCCTTGGAGTGGCGCCTTTACATGCTGGACAATCCGCAAACTCTTCAAAAGGCCAAGTCAGGAGCCTATGAGAGGCCGAAGTGAAGCACGGACTTTCTCTGGATTCTTGTAGAAATACAAATAAATGGCGCAACTGCAGTGGCGACGCCTCGTACCATCAATTGACACTTCACAAGTCGCCACAGTTTGTTCCAAAAAAAGGAAAACAGAAAACAACAGAAACAACACACGCGAAGACGGTGCAGGCAAAGTAACTGAGGGCACACACTCACACTTCACCAGCACTATCAATCCAATCACGAACCGAAGAGGGGACACAGGTACCTCCCAATTTTCCCTGATGCTCCTAAAGGCCCAACAGCAAATGAAGGGATTTCCCAGTACACAATGTGATTCACCTTCCGTCACAACCACGTGGATCATGATTCATTATGCAATCACATTGTTGTGTTTCAGCTGCACTTTTACACTGCAGATGCCTGAGGCGGTCATTGACCCTTCGAGTCAGCCTTAGAAGGTGAGGACTTAATCCTCACTGGTCTCTTCAAGACCTTGGTCATCAAGACCTTCTGAACCAAAACATTCTTGCTTCATGGCAGAAGCGCTTCGTCAGTGAAAAACTATCCCCCGGCAGGGATGTTGGACACTGGAAACAGGAACATTCTGACTCACCTTCCACGGTCCCAGTTCTCACCCCGGAAGTGGGTGATTAAAGTTAAAAAGGGGACCACTTAGATATCAGGTCAAGACTAGTGGGGTCAAGACTCAGGTGTGGTAGCCGTGAAAGCCCGTCCATGATGTATAACTTTGCCGCACGGACTGAACTCCAGCAACCTTTATCAAGGACTAAATCATATGAAAGGCTCTCTTGAAATAAATGCGTCGCGCCACCGCGCCTAAGACTATATGGCCTGAAGCCACAGCGCTGAAGCTTGAAGAATTTGCAATACTCTTTGAACCGTAGACGAAAGGTAGAAGGGGAACCTCGCCAGATCCTTGCAAATTTCAAGTTCTTCTCTTGCAAATATGCCAACAATGTTTGAAGCACCATAAGTACCCACGGGTGGTGAAGAGTGACCATCTCTGTGACCCCTTTACGACCCGAGGTCTTCGCATCTGCTAAGCGAACAAGTCTTTGGCCATTCCTGATCAACAGGTCTGATCCGCAGAGCCCCAGCGCTTCCCCCCGTCCTAAGAAGGCCTTCAAAGGCAGTGAGGATAAGAGCTCCAAAAATCAAGTCTCCCCTGTGGGTGGCCAAGGCAGCAATCGCAAAGACGATCTCTTGGGCCATGGGTGGAGCTCGACAAGGGGCCTCCATTCACCTCCAAACACGGAATAACCTCCAAGACTCAGGGATGTTGCCACGAATTCCTGGACAAAAGAACTGAACGCCGCATAGTGCAGTTGAAACATGGTAAAGAGGCCGGCCCTGGGCCCAAGCTTCCTCAATCCAAGCGCATTTGCTGTCGTCCAAATGTTCTTCAGAAGTAGCTGCCCTAAAAAGCGGTAAGAGTTTCTTCCCAAATCTATAATACCGCTCTAAAGTCCGTGGCTTCGGGCGTGAGCACGCTCGGCAGAAGACCGGCGGCCCAACACACTATCGGCGCGATGCTTCATCAGTCGGGTTCTGACTAATTCAACGTGTCCTATAATCAAATACAAGTCAAACCCTAAAAGCAATGAGTTCAGCTGCTTGAGAACGCGCCCAAGTTTCTTGGACCCTGAACGTCCTTTGCCAATTATGCTCACGCAAACATAGCTGTCAGTCAAGTGAAAGATGCGCGTGCTCATGGCGGTTCTCCTGCTGATATGGTGGCGGATTGCCAACACAATGGATCTTAGGCTAGACCCATACGGTTTGCCAGCCATTGAAACTCTACCATCGGCAGGTGTCGACGGCATAAAGCAGCTCCCGGAATGACAAAAGACTGGATGGAGAAACTGTCACCCAGAAGTGAACACCTCATGTCCTCATAAGCCTGGGCCCCCACAGCCTTCTGCTGGCTGTCTGAGAGACACAAGGACGTGTGCCCCTCGCCGTGGCCCAGTAGCCGCTCGCGCTCAGCCGCCGACGCGAGCCGCCAGGCATCTCCTTGCCAAAACAAGAACTCATCTTTATATTGGTAAGGTGGGTACCTGTAACCGTGGGACTCCCAACGCGCCGGCGCCAGCCCACTCCCAACCAGGATCAACCCACTAATCCTCAGTTGGGTACGTTGCCTCCGCATGGACCCGCGTCCAGTACTGATGCTGAGAGATGGTGACCCCTTGCACAGCTCCCTCCAGGGGCTCACTGCACCATGTGAAGCGGGGTCGCCGCATTGGCACAGAGTCAACTGGGCAAATGGATTTCCTCAACCATTGGGAATTGAAGTATTATAACCATTGATGAACGACCTCGTACGAAATATCTCGAACGTCCGTGACAACCTGTGCCTGGGGCCACCTCTTCTGAACCACCCGGTTGGAGGGCCCAAAGATCTCCACTGCAATCATTCCAATGGGTTGGATATTGAAAATATCATAGATCCTAAAACAACCTCCGATGCCGTTGAAGAGGGAAATTACCAAAATTGGGTGCTGGCTGATCTCAACACTCCTAACCTTTGAGGCCATCACGAAATCCATGCCGGCCTGGGTCAGGGTGTGTGAGACGCCAAAACCGCACCCCCCTCGATTTGAGGCATCCGAAGCTGTAGTGCAGGAATCAACCGCGGCTTTCATTTTGCAATGCAAAAACGGAGAGATGAGAACCAGAGTCCAAAGTTCCCTACGAACTCCTGCTACAACCCTGGGTCCCGTTGCTTTCCCCGATATGAAGTCCCAGACATGTTCCAGCGCTGTCCAACAACGATTTGAACCACCTTCTTTCTCAAGACGCGCCCGCTAAGAACCCACAATGTTGCTTGTATAAGCTTTAGCAGGCGTTCACCCGTGACGGAGATGATCTGTTTCTCACCGTCCAGCCAAGCTCCGAGCTCTTGAACTTGGGTTGCGCCAGACACCTTCTTCTTTGCAGAGGAGACCAACCCGGCACGCGACCAGGCGTCCTCAACGCAATCATGAAGGCTTTGTCCTGCAGAGCTGGCTTCTGCCGGCATGAGCTTCTGCCCGGCGCAAAAATTGTCAAGATAGACATGCCACCAGGGCATGTGCCTGGCCTCGCCAAGTTCGATGCAGCTCGTCAAGAACGGTGGTAGCGCACGACCACGCACTAGCTGGGAGGCTTGGGGAGCCCCCCCAGAAGTGCTACCTGTTCTGCAACTTCCTGCATAGTGGAGACACTGGAGCTCCACCCCATTGGGAGTACAGAGCAAGATAGGACATAGGTTGAAGATGGGTCTAGATTGATCTCTGATCCTTTGACTTTTACGTTGAAAAGGAAAGGAACTTCTCCCACACTTTGGGTAATCTGAACAAATAAAACGCAGCCGTTAAATCTGATTGGAATAAACCCAGGCCCTCTCCCTCTTCCAGAGTAAGTCCGAGCCACGCCGTAATCGAAGGCAGATGCCTCATGGCTCCATGAATCGAATCCGTGGTTGCATTAGCTGGGACCAAGTTCAAAATCAAACGAAGTACCCTGCGACCGTCTGGAAGTAAAGAGGGCTTCAAGACCCCGAAAAGACCCGAGAGAACCGGTTGGTTTCTGTAGTGAAAGACGTCCTCAAGCTTCGTCCGAGAGCATATATTACGCCTAACCAGTTCCTTACAGAGTGCACCTCGTCCCTAGAGCAATGAACTTTGGCTTGAAGAGGGGGAAGAGCCTGACCCACGTCCGGAACGACCAAGTGTGAAGGGTCCTGCAACAACCTGGCTGTCCCACGTGAGAGTAGTTCCAAAACATCGACCGATCCGCCATGCCCTACCGGTGGCAACCCGGGACCACCTGGTCTAAGGTCAAAGGATGGCACGAATTGATTTCATCGCCGGTGTAAGAAAACCGCTTGCCTTTTAGCTCCTGTTCGATGGAGTCAGCGGTACACGAGTGCGACCCCTTGAGTTCAAGGAGCCTCCCGCAAGACTTCGCTACCAAGGCCGCGGCACGAGTTTGGGCTGCATTGAGCCTCACAGCTGCCATGCCATCTGCTCGCAGCTCGCCACAAGGGCAGGTTGTAAAGCCTCCTCAAGTGTGCAACGTCTCAGTCTCTTGACAAAGCCCTCAAGCGCACCCATACGAAGTGGAAAAATCACCCCTTTCTTTGAGGTCCCAAGCCCTTTGGCCTCCTTTGTAGCCTTTTACAGGGCGCGCCCGCTTGGACGGCCTCCGGAGGGTAGCTGCCTCTTTTGCCTTCTCTGTACCTTTCTTTGTTGAACGGGACTTGTCTCCCCGCTCTTTGGGCTTTCCAGCCCCTGCCTCCTTCGCGGTATCTCCTTCTGCCACATCTGCAGGTCTCCTCAACGCTGAAGGCCTTGTAAGCTCCCGACTCTCCCAGGCCAGGCGCTGTGCCAGCCTCGGGTTGCATGCCCTCTGACTCCTCCACCCAATAGAGCTCTTCCGCTTCCGAAAGCCGCTTCTTGGCAGAGCGAATGGCTGGCGGGATCAACTGATTCTCCACTCCTGCGAGCATGTGCCAGACAACATCGCAAACATGTATGTCTCCAGCGTACTCTTCTATGCATGGATTGGAGCTGCAGAAATGAAGCCAGCCTTCCTTCCTGTTGAACCTTAGCGTAAGGTCCTTGTTCAGACTGCTGTCTGTTGATCCTAAACTCTTGCAACGCACGGACAAAGTTCCTGAACCTGAGACGAGCTGAACCTCGAGGACCAGGAAGTAGCCCAAAACCTGTGAAGCTGCTTGATACGAGAAAGTGCTCAGGTCTACAACCAGCACATCTCCCCTCAAAGGCGCAAGAGTCACCCATCGTATGAAGTCCTTTTGGGTGAACACTTCACCCTCCTGATGAACTCGGTGAGTCATTGAAAAGGGTCTTGGGAACCCCGTTCGAGCTCCGATGACAAGCCGTCCAAAAAGGCACTGCTCAACTTGCGATGGATGGGCCTCTCCGGATCTTGCTCCAGCCTGCCAATCCTCTGATGTTTTCGACCTGCTCTGTGCTTTGGCTTGTGTTGATGCGAACTGCGATCACCGCGATGTTGGCGTTTGTCACTACCTGAGTGTCGTCGCCTGTCCTTTTGCCCTTTGCTGCTGATGCCCTTCGAGTTGGAGGTGGTCCTTTTGGCTCTGGCGGCTTGGGATCTCCTGACCCTCCTAATGGCCGGTGTTCGACCTCAACAAGCTCCTCTTCCTCGGTGTCCTCCTCGAACTTCTCCTCAGACTCGGTGAACTCCTCCTTGCTGGCCTTGTCACTCCGGCTCTTTGGCAAAAGGCCAGATGGCTTGGGACGCACGACCTCTTTCCTCCTCTGGAGCGCTGGCTTGTCCCCTTCCAGGGCGTGGTCCTCCCTGGCACGCTTCGCAGCAGCCTGCGGTCGATCAGTTCGAGATGCCGCTGCCTCAGCGTTTGATTGCGAAGGTACCTGACCTGCCGAGTGGTGCTGAGCGCAAGATCCTCGGCCAATCTCCTTGAGGAGGAGCACGACCACGTGCTGGTGACCTCATGGCCGAGGGATTCCCAGCTCGAGCAGCTCAGGCACCAAGTGTCACCTTCCCTACGCGGGCTTTGGTGACACTTATTGCATGTCATGCGCCCCCCTATCTTCAACTAAAAGAGCCCAAAGTGAGTGCATTCAACACAACCGTCTACAAGAAAGTATTTCATCTCTCTCAAAGGCGCTGCCCTCTTGGCCTCAAATTAAAAGCCATGACCCTACATCTTCAATTCATTTACCTCATAGGAAAGTGACACGATGAGACACCAACTGTCCCAAACAGGACAGGAATTAGAAGCCGCCTGACCCCAAGCGTTTAGGAAATAATGGAGTCTTCCGTAATGATGTTGTTCCAAGGTTCACTGAAGGGCGCCCAGCCCTGCCACTTCCTCTCAGGTCCAACACCTCAAAACTAAAGCAAAGCCAAGCAGCTTTCAACTTGGATGCTTGGGGCGCTTCAAGGCAAAAAAGGTGAGAATATAGCCGTATAGCCACGGCCTATAGAGTCTACTGGGCCGCCCAGGCCGTAGAAGAACATCTTCCGGGCAAGCTCCAAGGGAAGCAGCTCATTAGCATCGCCTCAGCCCCCAAACCCAGCAACATGAAATCTTGGGGAAAAGTGCCCTGAACAGGAACATTGGCATCTCCCCTCTCAACTTCATATCCATTCCTCTCACCAAGTCACGCAATCTCAGAAGAGGAGAAGCCAAAAGGCGCTGTCCAACTGCCAAGATGCACAAAAAGAGTGTTTGGAGAAACTGGGGCTCAGTATCGCATCTTTTCACACTCTTCAACAGGTTGAGGCCTTCGTTGCATTGGAGTAGCTCGAAATCTCTCTCCCTTTCCTCAGGGTAGATCCTGGACATGTGAACGTGACATTGCAGCCTGTTAACTTGGTTTATGTCGGCTTTCTAGTTCGCATGTGCATGGTGAACACTACAATTTGGTGGACATGCTGTTCAGTATATATATATATACATACACACATATTTATACTTATTTCATCTTATTTCAGAGGGAATGCGAATGTGCCTATTTCCGTGTGGAAGAAAAAAGGGGCTTGGACTTTTCGGCAACGGCAGCTGAGTGGCCACCAATTGATCACATGCCCTGTGCGGATGTATGATGCCACGCAGTGAGGCAGCCAGTCTGGAAAGCTCTCGCCTCGATCGAAAACGACTTGCAAACAATGCAAAAGGTTGTCTCCTGCATCTCCCGTATTCAAATTGACTGCATTTCTAAGCTCAAACTCTGGGTTTTCTGGCCAATCCACAGACTATGAACTTCGACGGGAGGCATTTGCCATCGTGCACATCAAGGTCTCAAAGTCACAGCACAAAGGGTTCAAGATTCAATGCGAAAACTCTTGTTCGCAAAAACAATTTCAACATGTTTCAGATCTTATCTTGCGATCTCGATGTGTTTTTGCTTCGCGCTTTCTTGATATTGTGCATGATGTGTCGTGGCTTAGAGGCTTGCGAGTGTTGGAGGCAGTTTTCTGACGTTTTGCGAGCGTCGTCCAAGCCTTGAACGGAACCCAACGGCGCACACACTGCAAGCGCACACACACAGACACACACTCATGCCATCGAAGGAACGCCAGCCTTTTTTTCTGTGACTGTGAGTCACTGGGTCTCACTGCATCCGTTTTTCTTCCTTTCAGGCTGTCAGGCGGCGCTGCAGCTTTGGCGGCGTTCAACCTGTTGGTGCCCTTCATTACGAACAACATCCTTGTTTCTTGTCTCCACTCTGGCGCCCTGTTTTCGTGACCGCCCCCTAGCACCCGAGCCGATCACACTAGGACGGCGTCAAAGAAACCCCGCCTTGCGGGAGTGACGAACTTCCGGAACCTTTCGGCGCCTGAAGGTCGCTCCTCTTGGCGCAAAGTGCCCAGGCGCATTTGGGAGAATCAGCAAAGGCTCTGGCATGCCCAAGTGGATGACCTTCGACGGTCTTCACTCAAACGTGCCGCAATATTCAAATTGCTTCTTCTTTGTTGTTTCAAATCCGTGGAGAGGAGGGGTTAAGCCTCACGGTGCGTGATTGGCAGCATCACAAAGAAGTGAAAGGGTCCAGCGCTTCTTCTTTTCACCACAGTCGGCCGATCTGTACCGGCTAAGTTCTGACACTGGTTGCAGGGCCCCTTGGGGAGAAAGGGCGTTGGGCATGCGCTTGTGGCATGCATGACACATGGATGGAGGCAACATGCAAACAGGCTGAAGCACAAACATCTATCGGCTGTTGCCCAAAGGTGTCACGCCGTACCGGGCACTGTTTGCGGGCGCTCAGCCCGGGCTCTTTCGAAGCCACGAACATTGGATCAAAGATGATCCGCCAATTTACCCCTTGCTGGAGGAAGGAAGGCTGTCAAACAGCTGGGCGCGTGGGGATACCCAGAGTGGCGCGCTTCTCCTTCATGGAATAGCCAAATTCGGTCTCGCTCTTCTGGTCGAACACGGACTTCACGTCCGCCACCAGCGCGGCTTTCTGGCGCAAAAGGGCCGTGGGTTCACCTCCACGTTCAGAATCTTGTCTCGTTGGAAGTGGCACAACAGCTGCTCCTTCTTCGAGTCCATCTCCCCCTCACTGCTTGAAGATCTGGGACTGGCGCTCGTCTAAGGTCCTCCAAGAAGTGGATCAAGAGCGCTCCATCAATGTGCGGTTGTCGATCTCCTGTGATGGTCCAGGCTCGTTCCGTGAGCTGCGCCACAAGCCAGCTCTCCGGCGCTTCCTCGCTCGTCCTGGACAGTGGACTGTGCTCCATCCGAGGCACATTTGGCTCCAAAGTTCCCGTCCTGGTGCTGCGTCTCACACACCAAGTTCGTCAGGTCAAAGGCAAAGAAGTGGGCCAAAGCCAGGAAAATGGTCGTCACAAAGTTCAAAAAGGGTGAGCAAAGCAAGGTCCAGGAAGTGCGTGTGCAAGGCGTGCGCGAAGTAGCAGTTCCGGGCGACATCTTGGTCGAGTTCGAGCGTCGCTAGCTGACCTCTAACCAGCGGCGCACCACGGTGACTGGCAGCGCCACAAAGAAGTGAAAGGGTCGAGCACTTCGTCAAAAGGGTAGCGGCCGTATGCGGCCGTAGGGTACCCCCTTTACGTGGGACTGGCTGAAGGGGTCCCTGAGAGGGAAAAGGGGCTGAAGCATAAACACCTAGAAGGCCATAAGAGTAGGTTAGCAAGCTATTAGTAGCTTAAGTAGCTACTAGTATCTTGGATGCAGAAAGGCTCAGGCTTATTGATTTGGTTTCTGGTTTTTGAATTGTCAGCTGTAAGAAACTGACTTCAGAACTCCAACCTGAACGTCCGGCATGTGCATTCCGGCCAAAAAGCCCTTGATCTTGTCGAGCATAGACAACTTGCCCTGCCAAAGGCAACCAGTGAAATTGACCCGCCTCAATAAGGGTTCGAAACATCAGTATTGAACCTCTGAGCCACCTAGGTCTGTTTTGCTCCATCCAACACATCCCTGCAAGCTGCTCCAGCAGTCCATCTGAAGCCCATAGCCTTCGGCTTGGGCGGAACCAGCCAGCTGGCATCTTTGCCCAGCTCCCCCACGGTCAGGCCTGCAGCTCTCAAGGCTTGAAAAAAGCGGCCTCAAACCCCAAAAAGGAAGGGTGTCATGCAACGAGTACTATAAGTATGTGTGTCATGCAACGATTAGCATGCTACGAGTAGAGACCAATTGAACACATGCTGGTTAAGTGCACTTGCCAAAGCAATATAGCACCAGCCACACCTGCCACTGATTGCTGATCATGAACACCATACTGACCAAACCTGCTTCAAAATCCAGCGCCTGGAGGGCCGTGTTTCCATTCGCTTGATAAACTAAACACCTGAATGGTGGAAACCAAACCTGTTCAACTTTTGTCGCCTGCCAACCGTTCACAAATTCAATGGCAAGGGGTAGCGCACCGACCTCGCACGATGGCGTCGCATCTCAGGCCCCGACAGTTCTCCTGAAAGAAAAAGAGAAGAAGCGAGCTGCGCTATTCGTTTCTGAAAGCCAAAGTAGCCCGACCCGCTATTCGCCCGATTGTGAGGTCACTGAATCTCAGTCAGCCTTTCCCAAATCCGTAAGGTCCTTCACGTTGTTGCAATACAACAATGGACCTGACAAGTACTGCACACACAAAGCTGCTGAGGCTATTCACAACATTCCAAGTATTCACATCTACACCCCACAAGGGTAAAGTCAAATTGTTTGGCTGTCAAGAACATTTGCCTCTTTTATGCCAAGCTGACATCAACCTCAACGAACCAGTTTAGCCTTTGTCTAATCCGTTTCTGCGTCAAAGCGGCAGTTTTGGTCTGGGGATTGCTTCTCACGAAAACACATCTGTACCTGCAGCGGCGGGTGCCCGATGACCACCCTGTGAATTCATCTCAAGAGAACATGACTTTCGTTGATTCGACACACGGTTTTAGAACCTATGCAGTGTTCAAATGCCTTAGCCACACATAGCCTAGTAGCACGTTCAAACGCGAAGCGAGAACCGAAGGCGAGTTGAAGCCGTTGTCCCCTGGAATGGCTTAAGAGGCTGAAGCCTCAATTTCACTAGGCCTGTTTGCTTTCCCGGGGCCCTCCCCGGCCTTTTCCCTCGAATTTGTCACCCATTCGCAACAGCTGTTTGCACTTAGAAGATTAGTCCAACCTGTGATCGCTGCAGCAGGATGCAATGCAAATTCTGCGAGGCTGTACCAAAAATACAACAAAACACATACATACAAAGACTACAAAAGAGTTGCTTGAGTCTACCCGGGTACGAGAGGGTGCGGCGTACATGGGCGATGAATGATTGCCCAACAGCCGGAGTTGAGCATGGTCATCCATAATCGAACTCACTTTAACTATCAACAAATTCTGCAAGAAGTTCCCACAAGTACACACTTTTTTGTGGAAGTAAAACATCGGCTGACTGACAAAATGATTATCGCCATCGCCACAAGCCGAAGCACATCTTCATGGTCAAAGGGCATCGATACGCCAAACTCACTCCGCTGAGAATACCTCAGAATCAAATGAAAGCATCGATAACAGCCGTTCGTTGCAAGCAGTCTATCAGTCATGGACCACTTGCTTTTGAGTCCAACTGGTGTTGAACGCAGTAGTGACATGTAGTGAATATTCGCGGTCTGGGAGCACCTCAAAGCTTCACACGTTGATCGCACATGTGCTCCCTCGTCTGTCGACTCCCTCTAAGCTTCAGACCATGCGGTTGGCTGTACTTCGATGCCTGGGTCCCACTTTCACTCCTTTTTCCCGGATCCACTGGGAACGAACCAAGGTCATACTATGTCTTTGATGATGGAAACGGCAAAAATTGTTTGTCCCCAGCTTTCGACTTGCCGACGTGAAACAACATGGAGGATAGTAAGCGACTCGCTTGATGGTTCTGGTAACAACGATCATCCTGTCCTATTTCCGTCGGAAATTAACAGGGCACTCAATTCAATTGGGAGAGAGTTGACAGAATTGAAACATGAATATCATATGTTATCATATATTCATGGACCGAACATCTGCTTCCAAGCTGCACTTGAAGACAGGAGTGAACTGCCGGCAGCACTTATACCACTGCCGCTTCTGCCGGTCCAAGATCTCAGTGTCCACATTGTTTGCATCCGTACAAAACTTGAGGTGCTCCTTTTCCCGATCTTTCCTGGCTTTGTTTGTGTGGAACTGGGTTTTGGTCATCGGTCGACTTGCTAGTTTACTTTTATTCTGCCAGTGGACTCTCCAGGTCACCAAAATCAAATCAAGCACAATTCTCGTGAGAGATCTTTGAGCGTCCTCAATTCAATAGAGGCCAAGGGAAAATGGCTGATTTGGGGAATGCATCCGTTCAAGGGGAGACATGATGCTACGAGTAGTGGAGTCAAAGGAGCAACACTCACGGGAAGGCTCCTGAAAGGTGTCTGAGGCTCCCGACGAAGTACAAACCCTCACAATTTTGATCAAACCTGAAGAAACCGCCGGAAACGAGGATGATCCAGATCTCTCGGGAAACAGGATGAGATGAAATGAGGCGAACACCGCTGCATATCGACTTGCTGTGACCTATCACTTCCTCAGGCTCAGGGCGGCATCTTCTGCATCATCTCCTTCATCTTGAAGCCGATATTCATCTTAGCAGGCTTTATGAAATGAAAGAGATGCACCTTGGAGCTTCGAAATTGGAGCCCAATTCTCCACCCCATCAGAACACATACAGCACGATGCCGATCCTAACGACAGCGACGCACACCCTTTTCAAAGGCCAAGGAACCAACAGGCACTTCACCTTCCCTGTCACCATGCCTTAGGCGTTAGCTTTAGCGAAGTTCTTTGTCAGAATTGATCTTGTTTTGAATAGTGTGGCCGGATTCAATTGGCTCCCAAATTGGTCATCTGTACTTCACACACACACACACACTAAGGCCCAAGAGAAAACGAGCCATTGCCCACTTCTTGGTAGCAGAGCAAAAACGCCCTCTGTGTGCAAGACCAAGCAAGTCAAGTCGAAAGGTTAAGAAAAATAAGTTCGGGAACGTGGAGAGGCTGCTGGTTTCGCATCCCGTGGTGCTTGTGAGAATTGTGGCAAGGTTGACAAAGAGCCTTGCCTTGCGGGAGGAAGAGCAAATGTGAAGATTTGGCTCAAAGGAGATGACAGAATCACAGACTATGAAGACTTCCACTGACTGGTGGACATCCACCTCAAACTCCTTGACTAGAAGAGCCATGTCATTTATAGAAGGCATGGAAAGTCTATACTCAGGATGAACGTATTATTATGAAAGGATAAGGCTATGCCATGCAGTGGATGATATCTTTGTGGTATTTGCTCAGATTTTCCGCGCAAAGAATCCCAATCTTCGTCGAAGGGTGTAGCTTGAAAGGCTTGCAAAGCTGAGAAAACAGTACCCCGCCGAATGCTTCTTGCACCCTCAAACTCAAAGCAACATGGGAATGCGACATGGTTCACGCTAACACTGACTGTCTTCGATCTATAACCTATGGGCGTGATCCACTTTTAACTCGATTTCCTGTTGACACCTTCAAGAGGTTTGGGGGTTCGTGCAGGGCAAGTGGGGAAGTCTTTCAACCTGATTTTTGAAGGTCTGTCTCAACTTGTCGACACTTGGCTGCTTGCTGAGGCCCTCGAGTCTAGAGCAATCAATCCAAAAAGATGATGGGTGACTGCCTTGGCTCATCTGGACAATCCTGAACTCAATTCTATAGTGACTCGAGAGCATTCAAGAACTTGAGAGCCAGCAAAAAACATTTAAAGCAGGCACGACATGGCACCACCATTCATCAAACGAAGCACATCGTTCATCAAAGGAACATTTGATGAGGATCACAGGAGGGTCCAATGTGAAGGCTAGTGAAGCACCTGTGTCCCACTCAAAGAACCAAATACAGTAACTTATACAATCTCCCTTGAAGACTGGACTAGTGAGGAACAGTTAGTTGACCATTTTCCTGGTATATACGGTATATGTCTTGTCCTCTTGGAACGCGTGCCTTCACCTATGTTATCATCGATAAGGGAGGTCCTCTTTGAGATGCCCCCGATTTCAAGTTCCATGTCAGCTTCTGCCACTCATTTCTTGGGAAAAGACGTCTCACAGGCGCTTGCAGCTCGAAGGGCCCCGCTTGATGCCTCGGTGGACAGTGGACCAACGATATACTTTTGTACCAAAAAATTTGGAGCCTTAATATTGGTTGATTGTTCCTTTTCAACTTTCCTTGTGTGTTTTTAATGTGTGCTTGTCATAAAAGTCCCTTTGAATTTTCCCTTCATGCCCAGACCACCACGGCCTCCACATCTCCAAACTGGCCACTGCCCGGGCAGTGGACAAACGTTGTGACAAGCCAACTGTAATTCAAAAATCTTCGCGCTAAATACACACTTGGAAAGCCTGAGAAAGGGGGACGAAAGCCAGCCTCCGTAACATTGTTGTTATGGGGTGAAGTTGACATTGCACTGATTGCACTGACCTCTACTGCTGTTATGCACGGGAAGTAGAAGGCAGAGAGGCGCAAAGTCTCGCATTGAGGGTCGATATGATAAACTCTTTATATACAAGGCTTTGATCAAGGCCCATTCACTGTTGGTGGTTGGGACAATGGTTGAACTGAGCAGACCATTCACAGTTCGGGGGGGTGCCCCTTTCTTTGGGTTAAAGACCGTTTTCACACCGAAAAAGGGCACCCAAGTAACTGAGGGGCGCTTGCCTTTTGTTTGCCTCTCTTGTCTTGTGCTTGGAATCAACAACCTGGTGAGCTTAGCCCAGTATTTTGAACGAATATGTAGAAAGCTGGAAATGTCCTGCTGAGTTGTGAAATGCTGCTTCTAGGAGCGTTTAGAACCCAGAAGGTTGTTGGTGGTACAGAGTCTCGCCGCTTCTCTGCGGTGGAGCAGAAAGTTAATGCTCAAAAGGGTGGATGAAAGTTTGGTGCCAAAGCCGCGTGATTGTATAACATCGAACATTTACAGTATAGTTCCCATCCTTTTCAATGAACAAGGTCTTGTTGTCATAGAGTGAAGTTGAATCTGCAACTGCTTCGACTCTTATGCGCCACGGGACGCAGACTTTCGCATTGAGGCTCGATGTGATAGAGCCGATATACACCACGCCTGGATCAACTCCCATTCGCCATTACCGGTCCATAGGATAGACTTCGATCCGTACAACCCAACTCCATGGACATGTGTAGCTCAGAGGGGTGCCCTTTTTCACCCGGTTAACAGAACTTTTCACAATGAAAAAAAAGGGCAGCCCCAAGCAACTCAGAGGTTCCTGCCTGCACAGGGGGGCGCCCCAAGAAAGCCCAAAACTTGCTGAGTGCATTCTATTTAGTGGTGTCTGTAGGCAACGCATCCCGAACCAGTCCCATAGAGGTCATGTCGACGGCAGAGTCTCTAGCTGATGACCTCATGGACTACCAACGTGTCCTGTTAGCCACCGCAAGGCCGCCTAGCAACCCAACTGATGCTGCCCTCAGTGGTCTGCTTTGTACTCCCTTGCTAGGAGTCCCAATGCAGAGTGCCCTCGACCTTTGTGTAGCGCGGGCTATGTATGGCACCTTTATGTGCAAAACCTTTTCCTGCAGTCTATAATTTGATGAGCCTCCCTCAATACGGGTTATCCTCTTTAAGGAGCAAAAAGGAGATCGCACCTCAGGACGCAAATCTCACAGCTTCTGTCCTCTGACTGAATGGACACACCTGCTTAGCCTGGTGAGCTCCCGGCCTCTTTTCCTGTCACGTAGTCCCCCCTTTCCTGTCCTCGACCCAAACTCTCACCCCTTGTCGAAAGACTGTCAAAGTAGCCTCCTGAGCCCCGCGTGATGCCAATATGCACTCCTCGGCGCCAATTACATCACTCGCATCAGATCTCCAAGAACCATGCATTTTCATTGCTTTTCGAACCGCCTCTTCTTTTTCGCTCTCCACCACCAGGCTCTGGGTTCACCCTACCCGGCCGGGCCGGCCTGCGACCACCCCTCCCCCACACCCCCTAAACTCACTTCGTTCGCCCATCGACAACTCCAGCCTAGCCTATGGGCTGGCTTTAGTAAAAGCTCGCAAGAACACATTCCGGTGTTCATCAGTTCTGCATTAGCCCTCTACAGTTACTGCATTCAGGGTGAAGCGAGAGCTAAATTATATTTCACAGGTACATCGATCCAGCATCCTGGATCGATATCACGCACACATCCAGTGCGAATTGGCATCTTCTTTATAGGCAAGCAAAAACAAGTGTGTGAAAAAGCATAGAGGGATCGACGCGCTCGGGATATTGCGTGCAGAACTGCAGAACTGATTTGCGGTTGCCACCCGCCAGCCTAAGTAAAAAACCTAAGAGCCCAGGAAGTATGAAGCCTGAAGTGTTAAGTGGAGAGGCGTCTAACCTCTCAAAATGCAAAGTCTCAAAGTTCCACAGACTCGAACGACGAGCTGCAGAATGCATTAGCAGCTCAAAAATAGTTCAAAAGCAGGTACGTAACTCTGGCGTCCCAGAGTTGCACAGTGCAAGCCAATGCGTCTTCGGCTGGAGACATCTGAAGCACACTCCAGCCCCTAGCCTTACACACACCACATGGTGGAGCGAACAAAAAATACGTTCACCTGTTGTGAGTCACTTTTTCCCCTGTTTTTTCTTTTGGCCAAATCTTTCAACGGCGGCGACACTAAGGAACTGAAAGCGGTGTCTAACCGCGGACACGTCGTAACCGCTCCTTTCACTCCGCCCCTTGGAATCTCGTTACCGCTCACTTTCGAGTTTGAACGGCACTTTACTTCGCAAATGCCATGGCGAATTGTGGACTGTTGAGTTGTTCAGGGAGGACTCGTGCGAAAGCTTCCATTTTGCTACTTCGAAGTGGTCTTTGGAAGTGCCTGGTTTGCGAAAAGCACTGGCAGGTTTGCGCGATGTGAACGCAGCGTCAAGGCAAGCCTGGCAAAAGCAGCGTTCTTGGATATTTGAAGCGCTCTCATGCGCGTGCCCATGTATGTGTGCCCGTGTGCCCTCGCCCTCTCTCTCTCTCTCCCTCTCCCTCTCCTGCGTGTGTGCCCAGATGTGTGCCTCACGCGCGTGCGCCTTGATGGTGCGCTTCATATGTGTACTTTCCATGTGTGCTCTCATACTGGTAAGCCTCAGACCTCATGTCATGTGTGTCCTCCCTTTGTGCTTAATATGCGTGGTCTTGCGTGTGTAATCTTTCACGAGGTGCCTTTGGGCATTTGCAACTTGGCAGGGCTGCAGGGAATGCCATAGTTCTGCCAACGAAGACGGCTGTGACATTCGATATCGTCTAGTGATGTTGTGATGACCTGACACCTACTGCCCCTTTCCGAGACCGTTTGGAACCGAACTCGGGAACCTTGAGACTGGGACCCTTTTTGCGCTGCTTCGGCGCTTTCGTTCACAACGATGATTCTTCCGGCCAACCGCACGAAGTGCACACATTTTTATCCCCTGTGTGTGTGCTCTCATATGACTCATATGTGTGGTCTTCCTTTTGCGCGCTCTTCTGTTTTTGTCTTCTGATGGGCGTGCGGCGTGCTCTATAATTTCCATGACCCTTCCAACAAACTAAGATTCATGCCCCTGGCAAGTCTGTCCATCACCATATGGCCCAAAACTTCCATGTCAGGGTTTTGTGTGATCTTGCTTGGGGACAGCCTAAAACTCCCTGCGCATCAGTCACTTTTACTTTTCGGACTGTCTCCCACCATTGCACATCTTTGCAACGCTGGGGCTCAACTTCGAGGTCGCACCCTTTTGATCTCTAAGTTAGCGACTTTCACTTTGCGCACCTGATTGCACAATCATCTTTACGGCAATCACCTGATTGATCTAGATTCGCTTCGAGCTCATCATGTCAATTGTCGTTCAAAGCTCTAGCTCCCCGCATTCTCAAGGATCTGTAAAGACGACAGGTTGATATCGCCTAACTGTCGAAACTCCATGTCTCAAGAACACTCTGTTTGTGGGGTGTCCTCTTTGATCCAAAATTGTACGAGACACCTTTCCGCCCAACCACCTGATTATTGCTTTCCTTCATTCTTTTTGTTGGTTCTTCTGCAAAACAAGTCTGCTCCATTACATGCGTGCTCTAATGCGCATGTGCTCTCACATATGTGCTCTCATGTGTGTGCTCTTATGCGTTGGCCTCATGTGTGGGTGTGTGCACTTACACTGTATGTCTTGAAAGTTTGCTCTCAATGTATATGCTCTCAGGCAGGTGCTCTCCAAGAAAGAGGGGCTGCAGTTCATACAAAAGCACGGGTTCGTGACGACTCAGCAATGCTACAGCCAAGCGACGCGTGTAAAGAGTATGAAGTGCGCTTTGACTGTTTGGGATTGCTTGCCAGGATAATTGACATCACGTATGTCACTTCGTCCTTTGTACCGTTTTGAGTAGCTGTACTTACACCTCAAGATGTCTTAGGAGAAAAGACATCGCCAAGAAACAAACAACTCAGTATTTTAGCCAGCAAAAGCACAGGGAAACAAACCCAGAAAGGACTGTGACCAATTGCAAACTTGCAAACCCGTATGAGCACTTCAGCAACGTCTGGGGCCCGCAACCAAGAAGTATATCCAAAAACAGCTTCAAGCAGGAATCTGGGAGCTGCGCGGCGCATGCTGCTCCCAACGCATGGCGAAAGAGTGGCCACGTCTCAACATCGCCCAGCTCGGAAAAACATGCGAATCCGTCACGGTGTTCATCGTCTTGACATCCGATCTGTCGATCTTCGTTTGGTTCGAGCTAAGCAAACGCTTCCAAAAGGGCCAAATCCAGCCAAGAAAGTTGGCAGTCAATCTGCAAAAAGAGCCGATTGCCAAATACAAATAATACAATCACAGTATGTTGAAATGGTACTTCACAAGGACTTCGGCCCGCCGGAAGTGTTCATGGCTGGGCCTTGACAGTCCAGAACACGGATCACTGCAATCTTCAATAATAGCATCTAATAGCAATGGCCTCCAACCTACAAGGAGACACACTTTACATGATCACATTATATCTCAGTGCAGATCACATCACCGATCAAAATGATGCAAACCAAATGCTTTTTGTCACACGGGCATTGGCCGCTTTCTTGGCCTTGGAGACTCGCCTTCACAAGCGCACTCGCGGGAACGCGGTCGAAATCTGGTCTCTCGTATGGAAACGTTGTATGTCGCCCATCGTCTTAATCAAAATGCGTAACTGCATAACTGCAAAACTTTGTATCCTCATCTGATTTCTCAACATGGTAGAACCGGGCGAACCTATCTTCCCTACGACCCTCTGCGAAACACTGCGAACAAACTTGCATGGCAAACCAAGAGGAGAATCACAAGTACCAAGCTTTCGGCACGCCCGGCAGCCATCTAGCTAGAAGTTCTACGCCCGTTCACTGGCAGAACCATTCATACCCATTCCCCATCAGTTTCGATTGGCCTCTGTCGTCCCAGCGTTCCAACATCTCACGGACGTAGAGCCGCAAAAAGCGCCAAGACTTGGGCCTCTCAACATGCAAAGTGAGCGACGACTTGGGACGACGAGGGAAGCCGAAATCTGGCACACCGTTTTGTACGTG